TCATAGCTTCCATGAAGCTAGTGAGTGAGGGGTCTTAGTGGTCCTTCCCCCACTTGACTAAAGGCCAGTGGAAATAGCTCTGGACAGAGAAGGGAGAAGCTAGTGAAGGGACTAATCACACAGGAGGGGAAGCCCAGGGCGCCTACTGAGCCGAGGGGACAGAGAAGGCTGAGGGATCCCTCGAAGGCCATGTCAATTATTGATGTCATGTCAACACCTTATTGCTGTGTTGTCCAGGCAGTTTCAACTCATGACGACTCGAGGTACAACAGGAGGAGGCACTACTACATTCTCTGCCGTCCTCATGGTCAACGTCATCCTCACCATGAACCTTAATTCTTAGGAAAATACACTCTATTATAGTGATTTTAATGTGGGTGCTTTGGGTGCAGTATTTACTTCACGAGTTTTAGAAAACACAATTTTCTCTCGGTTAATTTTTTTTTAAGTGTCAAAATTCAAAGTGATCTTTTTATTTTTCTTTTATTTTCCATCTACCATCTTCCCTCCCCAGCTAGTACCGTTCCCTTCCCCCACCCTCCCACGATAGCTACTTAATAATTTGGGTTATATTCATATTTACATTATTGTGGTTAGGTAGATGTTAAGCCACGATAGGAAATTTGATGGCTTTTAATGCTTATGATTTTTTCCCCTTTGACTTGCAATGAAAACTCAACTTGTTTTTAATATTACTTGCCAAAAATTTAACTGTAGGCTCCCTCAAGTTTCCAGAGTTCCTATTAGGAAATTCTGAGGTGTTCAATTTTCCTTTAGGGTCATCTTCCCTCCCTCACCCCCCCGCCCCCATATCTCCAGGAATTTTTGAAATGCTTCGCACTAAGCTGGTTGCTTTCTATACCTGGGGCACATCATGGGTGGAACCTCTCCCCACACTGCCATCAGAACATTTCCTTCCTTCTCCCAGGCTGGATTTCCTTTTCCCTGTATCTCATGTCTCCTGCATTGTTTGTTTACACTCTTATTTTCTATCGCACATCCTGGAGTAGCTTCCTTGGAAAAGGTGCATGCAGGCCATTTTGAGTCTTCAAATATTGAAAACTATCTTTAATTACACTCTCAGACAAGTGTCCAGTTTGGGTATTTACTTGTCAGTTAGATCTATGCTTTTTTTCCTCCCCTTTAGAATTTTGATGACTTTATGCTAATGAATTCTAATTTCTGATGGTATATCCTCAAAAGATCAAACTCACTGCCATTGAGTCAGTGTTGACTCAATGTAACTCCTTACGGAAGTAGGGAACCCCATCTTTGCCCAAGGATTGCTTTTTTTTTTTACCGTGAGGAATGGCTGGTAGTTTCAAACTACTGACCTTGCAGTTAGCAGTGTAAAAGTTCGGACTCCTGACCCTGCATATGTGGCCTTTCTTCCTCTTGGCCCCTCTGCTGGGAGCTTGTCAGATCTTACAAGTAGTTTGATGTGGCTTTGTTTCCTTCTTGTCCTGGGTGCTCACTCCGTGGGCCCTTTTAGTTTGGAAATTTGTATTTTGAACTATGGAGTCAATTTCTTTTTGCTCTTTTCAATTTATTTTTGTAGAGCTTTTATTTGGATATTGCCCTACTTCCTAAAAGATTTCTTCAGCTCATCTTTGAACTCTGGTGGTGTTGTGGTTATGCTTTTGGCTGCCATCTGTGTGGTTGGCAGATCGAAACCACCAGCAGCTCCTTGGGAGAAAGGCTGGGCTTTCTCCTCCCATCAACAGTTACAGTCCCAGAAACCCACAGGAATCAGCATTGACCCGATGGCAGTGAGTCAATCTTTGAACACTTTTCTTGAGCTTTCTCTTCCTGCTATCATATTTTTGATTTCCAAGTGATCTTTTTATTTGTTTCAAAAGAGTTTTCCAACAGCATTCATTTATTTCCCCTTTCCAATAACATCTCTCTTAGCGAGGCTTTTCCGGATAATGTCATTTAAAATTTCATCCTCTAGCCCCATAACAAACCTCTGGCGTGCATAACACTTAATGGTGAAATCTTGAAAGCCATTCCTTTGCGATCAAGAGAAGGCAAGTGGGTCCGTTGGTACACTCAACATTCATGGTCAGTCGATACTCTTGCCAGGTAAGGAATTGAAAAAAAGCAACAACCCAAAACACGGTATTAAAAGGAAGAAACAAATCTGTGGTATTTGTGTCTGGGTTAATTTTTCTTTTAACGAGAAAAATAATTGTTGCAAGTGATATAGGTCACCCATTGGAAGAGAAGAGAGATGACCTCTAATCCCAATGTTGAGCAATAATCAGTCCACAGCTGGGTTGACGTTAATTCCTATCTCTGTTCATGATGGTTGTAGCATTGTATATACTATAGTGTGACTGTTTCCCTTAAAATATATATTATGCACGTCGTCTCGTTTAGTGGCTGGGTCGCTGAACTGTAGTTTTAGCAATATAACAATATATTTTTAAAATTTTGACATTTTATTGTGGTAAAATACACATACCAAACTTGGCCACTGTAACTTTGTAAGTGGCATTGCTTACATGTACAGTGTTGTGCAGTCCGCAGCAGCAGTCCCTCCACTCCCCTCCCCTCAGTCCCTGATAACCACTAATCTACTGTAGAGACTTGAGGATAAGCCAACCCGAATATCGACCGAGGCACCCAATTTTACCACAAAAAGGTTTATTAAAATATGTGCTGAAAAACTCGGCTTATACACGACTATATACGGTACTCCCTGCCCCTTGCCCTCTCTCTGTATTTGCCTATTCTAGATGTTTCCTAGAACCCTGGGTGGCATAGTAGTTATGCATTGGGCTGCTCTCTGCAAGGTCAGTAGTTCAAAACCACCTGCTTTCCGAAGGAAGATAAGACTTTCTACTCCTGTAAAGAGTTACAGTCTCAGAAATCCACCAGGGGCAGTTCTACCACGTGCTATAGCAGGACCACACAAGAAGTGTGACCTTTTATGTCTGCTTTTCTTTTTTCCGCTTCGCACTGTGTCTTCAAGGTATATCTGTTTCCAAGATACATTTATATTTATAGATATGTACATTGATTGGTAGTATGTGTCAGGACTTCATTTCATTTTGTGGCTGAGTCATATTCCCTTGCCTGAATACCTTTTCTGTCATCTTTTGATGGACACTTGGGTCATTTCCACCTTTTGGATATCGAGGCTAGTGTTGCTGTGAACATTGGCACCCCTGTTTCCAGTTGAGTCCTTGTGCTCAATTCTTTTGAGCATATGAGAAACCACCAACTTCCACGGTGCCTGCAGCCTGTACCTTGCCGTCAGTATTTACATTGATTTTATCCAAAGGGTTTTCAGAAAGTGATGCACACATCATCTTCTATGAAAAGGCTGTTGTCTCTTTAAAAATTAAATAATAGCTTGTTGTTGTTGATGTTGTTGTATTTACTGAATGAATCAGATGAGAATCTGGCTCATAGGTTTCTTTCTAGAAACATTGACCAGGCAGGCAGGTGGGGCAGTCAGAGGCTCTGCGTCCTCTGTTTCCTTCCTTTAGGTGCCTGGTAAACTCTTGTATGTTTAATTTTAGTGTCTTGAAAATTTGAGATGTTTCATCTCTGCTTGGTTGGGGGCCTTTTGGAAAGTCTATACCCCATCTTGGACAGAAGTGGAAGACAATAATGAAAGGAAAATGAAATGGCTTATGATTTCTCATGGGTTTTTTCCACCAGTTAAACACTTTTAGTCCTTGCAGCAAATCAGAAAGTGTTTGTTAATAAGTCATTTTAGCACACACTGTGATCTAGTACCCTGCCTGTCCTTTTCCTTAGAAACCTGCCCAGATTTCTGTTAGTGTCCTTTGGTTTTGAAGTAACTGGTCAGTTAAAGGCCGCTCTGGCGGGACTCAGAGATGGGTAATATCAGAAACTCTTGTCATTCTCCTGTAAATGTTATCGATATTCTTCATGGCCTCACCACCTCTGAAGTTTTGGTCCAATGGTGTATTTCATAAATGTTAATGAACGACAGATTTTGAGAATCCCTGGATGGGCCAGCCTGGTTGTGCCCTATCTATGTGCTGGTATTACTCTGAGGCCCATATGTGGGGAAGCCCTGAACTCAATCAAAAGTGATCTGTACAATCTTTTGTGTTCTTGGTACATTGCTTTGATTTCCTATTAAGGCCCAGAAGATGGTCCAAATACTAGCACACACGTTCCGGATTTGCAGACGTGGCGTGTAGTCATGGAGGGCACGATGTAGTTTCCTAGAGTTTGTAAATGAATGTGGCTCCACTTGCCAATTTGTGATGCTAAACTTATTTCGTGTGTGCGATTATGAGCTTGCTTATAATTTGATAGCATCTGTTTATTTTCATTGTTAAGTTAAATTTCTTACATTCTTGGATTAGCTCAGATTTTCTCTGATGAAATGGGCAGAGAGAAAACACACACACACACACACACACACACACACACACACACACACACGCAAATGAGATGCTCTTTCAAAAGCATCTTCGAAATGGGGCCAGATATTTTTAGCAACTGATGGTGATTATCCCTTATAAACAGGGATCAGAGAGAGAAAGGGAAACTGATCCTTGAAGAAGCCGTATCTATCATTTTCAGCCATCACGTTTGGTCTCCCTCAACTGCTGTCAAACCCATGCACCGGACAGTACCAGGTGGCAGAGCGTTGGGGTTCCAGCTTCCTTAATTTCTGCAGCTGCCTCACTGAGCTCATGAGCAGTGGAATAGGGGGAAATAGAAGAGAAGCCAAAGGGCAGGGACTACTTAAGACTGATCAAAGGATGTCATTCCCTTGGTCTTTTTATGCTGCTGTGATCATAGCAGCGTATATACTACTTGGGTTTGGGACACTAGAAAATGAGAAAGGGGTTAGAAATAGCCTCCCTTCTTTATTTTTTCCATCGAGGCTTCAGATGATTTTAAAAAGCAAATGTGTGTCATATGCTGTTGTTATTTCTGTTGAACAAGTGGCAGGGTATTGTGTTTTGATTTCTGCTGGTCCCTAACAGCATGGTTTTTCTTTGCAGCTGTTAAGTCAGGATCGCTGCCTCAACCACCTGCACTCCCTCCGAGACCCTGTCCATCACAGGTAAGACACAGGTAGGACTTGTGTAGACTGTTTTGAAGTGGGGACTTTGTCTGAGCACTGTGCGTCTTGGGAAGGGTTGATTGCCACAGACTAGATGGCCAAGGTGACATTTGGATGAAGAGAACTGAAAGTGATTGCATTTTTCTCTCAAGTCAACCTCTTGTGGGAAAGTGGACGTTTCCTCAATAAGTCACCGAGCCAATGCATGAGAGTTGACTATTGGCGCTTGAGAGTTGCATGTGGTTTGAATACAGAGGAATAGAAGAAAAGGGTCTCTCCAATTAGAACTGAGGGTTGTGGTTTTTCTGTGTAGCACGCAGTCTGAGTGTCGATATTTTTATCAGCATTTTAGGGGTTGTGCTGATGACGTAGTGGATCCGAGCTGAGTTGTTAAACCACAAGACTAGCAGTTCAAAACCACCAACTACTCTTTGGGACGATGAGACATTTTACTCCCACCATGACTTAGAGTCTCAGAAACCCTCAGGGGCAGCCCTACCCTGTCCGGCAGGTTCACTGTGAATCGGAATGGACCCAATGGCAACGCATTTGCTTTTGGTCTTGGCAAATTCTGCGTGACCTGAAAGGAAATGGTCATCAACAGGGGGTGGGTGCTGTGGTTTAGAGCCATGATGCGTTCTCCAGACCAGCGTTTCTCAACCTGTGGGTCGTGACCCCTTTGGGGGGGGGGTGTCTAACAACCCTTTCACAGGGGTCACCCGATTCATAACAGTAGCAAAATGATAGTGATGAAGTAGCAACGAAAATAATGTTATGGTTGGGGTCACCACCACATGAGGAACTGTATGAAAGGGTTGCGGCATGAGGAAGGTGGAGGACCACTGCTCTAGACAATCATCCCCATGGAACAATATGCTGAAGCAAAAGAATGTGTCACTAAAACCCGTGTGGGCTGTAAATTAATTCTGCCTTATTTACATGTGCTCCTATGGCCTGATTCATCAACACGTTCTGTGAGCTGAAAATGAGAGGCAAGCAGCAAAACCGCGCAGGTTTGGTGCTGAAGAAGCTTTTGATCTTTAACGCCCCTCCCTCCGGCTCCTGGCAGAAAACTTTGAGGAATTTTTCTGTGCACAGTCGCCGGTCTCCCTCCTGGCTATGAGTGCCTCAGAGCACACCTTCTCCCAGGGTGCATCTCAGACCTCGCTGAGGGCGGTTAATACTTGTTCTTCCTTCATTCCGATTATTAGATGGTCTGTGGAGTATAATCCACCTTGAGATGCAAATGCTATGAGATGTAGTGGCTCCATGCTACAGCTTGTAGGATGGCTGGGTATGCTAAAAGGGGAGTTAAAAATTGCCTGGAGAATAGGTTTTGCGGTCACACTAAAGCCTAGCCTCAACTTCAGAACAATCAGTTCTTACATCATGGCCCTGCTCCATACTCACCTTCATGAGAGGATCACTGACGATAAGGGTGCTAAATAAAGTGTGGTGAAGGAAGCAGATGGTGCCCAGCTATCACTGAATTGTGTCTGGGGTCTTAAAAGCTTGTATTCAAACAAACAGTCATCTAAGGGAGGAGTCTACTAAGTCCACACAGAAATAGCACACCACCTTATGTGATCCAAAGACGACAATTACAAAACGTGAATATGGTGAGGAGAAAAGAATTAGAGCAAAAATTATGAACACCCAATTTGTGAAGGACTATGGGGGATGGTGAGAGCCCAAAACCCATCTGTAGAGAATCTAGTCAGGCTTCAGCTATACTACCAGGCAGAGACCATTGTAATACTGATTCTGCTGGATCAAATTCGACACTTTGTTCAGTTGACTCGACCTGAATTTGTTCTGGGTGCAAGTAGCTCTTACTGGTTCCATGACAGAAATTTCTTCCCTGTTTTTTTTGCATGTCAATGGGAGTCTTTTCTTTCTTATGCATTATTTGTATTTTTGTCTTTGTACCACTGTGATTTTATCTTTATCACCTTGGTGCGATTTTGATTTTTACTGGGGCTCCCAGCGATGAAGCACAGGAGGAGTGGATGCATAATGATAACGGATACAGGGGATATAGGGAATACAGGGATGGGGGTGGGTAGGGAGGGAAAGGGGATTTGGGGAGTAAATAATGAAGACAGCAGGAGGAGGCAGCATTAGAATGGAGTTTGGTTGCTTAAATCATCTTAGAGGCGATTTAAGCAGGGAGGGTGTGTGTGTGTAATGCTCTAAAATGGTTGTGGGGGATGATTGTACAATTCTCCTGATAGGATTGAATGATTGAACTAGTGAATTAGACTATATGTAAATTATTTGCCAATAAAACTGTTTAAAAAATTGCCTGGAAGGCACAGGCTTGATTTTAAGCTAGAAGCCTATATGGATTTGGAGGCTTAGGTGGAAACCTGACTCCCACCCAGTACTGCTGAGGAGACAGGAGATTACATTTGAAGGGAAGACCTGCCAAGTGTGAGTGTGTGTGTGTGTGTGTGTGTGTGTGTGTGTGTGAGAGAGAGAGAGAGAGAGAGAGAGAGAGAGAGAGAGAGAGACTGAGACTTCTTGACCTTTTGAATTCTGAGCAAGCATTTTGCTTTTAAATGCATCAAGGCAAGAAAAGTCTGCCCATCTGAGAAAAAAATCCCCTTTTCTAATGAAGTTAAAGAGAGCCGGTGAGCTTGGTATGGTTGTGGTAACCACCTGTGTGTGTCCGCTGGTTGAAGACAAGTGGGAAAGAGGCAGCGATGGCTGATCTGGATATGTTCCATTGCACCGGATGACCTAGTCAACAGAGGCTAGAGGTCAGAGAGGAGGGGAAGGGCTGGCTGGTCTGAAGTTAGCAGCAGCAGAACCAGGAACCAGAGCAGGAGACAGAGCAGTGGACTTCCCACCCAACAGAGCAAGTCAAGCTGAGTGCTTTTGGCAAGAGACAGGCTTGTGCAGTGGGCTGCCTTTAGGCACTGAGTTGGGGTTGCTAGGTTTGCTGACTCCTGGTCCTGGAGCTGAGTACATTCAGGCTGAAGCTTATGGTGGAGTGGCATGCCCTTTGGGCATTTATTAGCAACTCCGAAAGAGCTTTTTGCAATATTGCCAAAGCAGGGAAGAAGCTAGATCAAGAGGCTGAGGCCTGAATTGTAACCTGTTAGCTTCTGCCAATAAACCCCATAATTGGAAATATAGTCTGTGAATTGTGTGTGGTCATTGCAGTGAATTATTGAACCCAGCCACAGAAATTGGTGTCAGACATCCCCTTACAGAAGGGTAGCGGGGAGGAGACGAGCCAGTCGGTGCAGTATCGCACTGATGAAACATAAATCTTTCCTCTAGTTCTTTAATGCTCCCCACCCCCAACTATCATGATCCCAATTCTACCTTACAAATCAGCTACACCAGAGGATGTACACTGGTACAGATAAGAGCTGGAAATACAGGGAATCCAGGACAGATAAACCCCTCCGGACCAATAATCAGAGTAGCGATACCAGGAGGGTAAGGGAAAGGTGTAGGGAGAAAGGGGAAACCAATCACAGGGATCTACATAGAACCTCCTCCCTGGGGGATGAATAACAGAAAAGTGGGTGAAGGGAGACGTCGGTCAGTGTAAGACATGAAAAAATAATAATTTATAAATTATCAAGGGTTCGTGAGGGGGGGAGTGGGGATGGAGGGGGAAAATGAGGAGCTGATACCAAGGGCTCAAGTAGAAAGAAAATGTTTTGAAAATGATGATGGCAACAAATGTACAAATGTGCTTGACACAATGGATGGATGGATGGATGGTGATAAGAGTTGAATGAGCCCCCAATAAAAATGATTTAAAAAAAATTGCTGTCAAAATTGGTTGGAGGGCGGAGGTATGTCTGACCCTGTAGCATTCTGCCTTGGGAATCAGAGGAGATCAGATGTGCCCCCCCACCCCATTTAATCAGTGGTTCTTCCTGATATACGAGCAAACAGGTGGGATCTCCCTTTTCCCAAATCCCAGCATTGATTGGCATTGGCATTCAAAGATATTACTTTGAAATAGACAGTGGTAAAAGTTACCAAACACAGTGAATGTAATTAATGACACTGGATGCTGCATTGAAAAATTAAAATGGCAAGTGTTATATAAGTTTTGCTTTAATAAAATAAATATATATCGGTGAACCAGTCAATAGGTGCTTATCGAGTCCCTGCTACATAGCACGTCCTAAGCTTTAGTCCCACTGTGAGCCTTTCCCAGACTATGCTTTCTCCTCATTTATATCATTAGCTACATTTATTGAGCATCTACACTAGGCGTTCTCAAACTACGGCCTGCGGGCCACATGTGGCCCGCTGAAGACATTTATCCGGCAAGCAGGATGTTTTTGCCCCATTTGTTTTTTTTTACTTCCAAATAAGATATGTGTGAAGTGTGCATAGGGATTTGTTCATAGTTTTTTTTTTTTAAACTATAGTCCGGCCCTCCAATGGGTCTGAGGGACAGTGAATTGGCCCCTTGTTTAAAAAGTTTAAGGACCCCTGGTCTACACCATAGGTTCCCAAACTTATGTGTCCTACTGTCCCCTTTTCAGGAAAGCACAATTACTCAAGAGTCCCCTGAGTCATACAAAACTTTTGAACTATAGCCCATAATCCAGTATAAAGTGTAGGTTTCTGCTCCCTGCCCCCTCACACATATCCTTCCAGTTCCCCACAGGGGGCAGTAGCACCCACTTGGGGAAACACTATTCTGCACTCTGTACTAGGCAAATCTGACTTGACTTCTTTAAAGTGTTAAAAAGTAAAGACATCACTTTGAGGACTAAGGTGCCCCTGATCCATGCCATGGTGTTTTCAATCACCTCATATGCATGTGAAAGTTGGACAGTGAATAAAGATTGCAGAAGGATCGATACCATGTTTCAGTTACAGTGTCGGCAAAACATATACGCTGTGGATTTCCAAAAGAACCAACAAATCTGTCTTGGTGGAAAGACAGCCCGAAAGTGTCTTCGAAGCAAGGCCGGCAGACTTTGTCTTAGATACTTCAGACCTCAAGAAAGACTAGGCCCTGGCAAAGAACATCACACTTGGTAGAGTAGAGGGGAAGCCAAAGAGGATGACCCTTGATGAGATGGGTGGACACTGTGGCTGCGACAATGGCCTCAAGCATAACAGTTGTGAGGAGGGCCTAGGCCTGGGCAGTGTGTCATTCTGTTGGCACCTAACATCACCATTACCACACTATGCCAGGCTAAGCGCTTTCCATGCATTTTCTCCCTCCATTTTATTGGGAACTCTTACAGCTCTTATAACAACCCATAGTTGAATTACATCAAGCACAATTGTACAATTGCTGCCACCATCATTTTCAAAACATTTTCTTTCTACTTGTACCCTTGGATATCAGTTTCTCTTTATCTCCACCCTACCCCCAGGAATCCTTGTTATTATAGTCAATATTGTTATTGTTATTCCCTTTTTATCGCTGTATCTTACACCATCCAATGTATCCGTTCACCTACCATTCTGTTATTCGTTCCCCTCAACTGGGGTTATATATAGTAATCTGCAGGCATGATTTGACCCGCATAACAACCCTGTGAAGTAGGCATTCATAGTCTTCCCTTTTCGAGGTAAGGAGGTTGACATTCACAGAGTTGAAGCAAGTTGCCCAAAGTGATGTGGCCAGGAGAGCCAGCTCTCCAACTGGAGTCTGCGCTTCAGAGCCCCTGAGCTCCCCATGACTGTTGTCCGTGTCTGTGCGCCACAGAGCTGCCGCCCTGGACGCAGTGTCCCACCAGCTCTCTTCAAAGGGGCTCTCGATGGGATGGGGTCCGCAAAGGGTTACGTGTTCAACTAGGCAAAAGGCTGGCTGTTGGAACTCGCCCAGGGGTACCTTGGAAGACAGGCCTGGAACCGTTCTCCTCCACACACCTGCGGTCAACATGAGGCAGAACTGACTCGATGAGGCTCCTGCTTTGCACTGACAGGAAACCTGGACTTTGTCAGAAGAAAGGAAGAGGGCCGTCTAGGGGCAGTTGGCTAGCCGTGGCTGGTTTCAGACAGAGGGTTGGGAGCCAGCAGAGTGAGCATGTGTGGAAGACCTGTCAGGCAGGACATTTATGGTTCACACGCTTCTCGTTCTGCTGCTGCACCACTTTCAGTAGAATGGAACCCCTGCTGCTGCCGTCCACAGGCCTCATCTGAGCTGCCCAGGGCCTTCCTGCCTGCTTCGGGACTTGGTGGCAGGAGGATCTGGTGGGGGCTGGGCCTTCTCCAAGCACTGTTCGTGAAGGAGTCAACTTTTTTGTTTTCCAGGTTTCCCAGCACAATGTGAGCAGTGAGCCTGGTGCTCCGCCTAAGCCTTCGGCCCAGCTGGCCAACTATGGGGATTTCCGCCTACAGGAGCAGGTGTGTAACGAATGCAGACAGAACGCCTTCTCCCATCCCCACTCTCCTTTGTCCACCCTGTGCCCATTGTAAATGGGCCACACAGAGTCAACATAGGCCATCCTGGGCAGTGTTTAGGCTTTGTGCTGACTGTGTCAAATTCCTAAAGAATCTCACCTAACCTACCTGTAGAGAACACCTATTCTATAGGCCTGTGAGAAGATAGTCTTCCGGGAGATGTCGGTATGTAGGGAAAAACCCCACGCCACCACTGCACATCCCACCGCCTTTTCTGGGAGATGTAAAGTGTCTGTTAGCCCACCAAAGGCTCTGAATTTCCACAGGAAAGCAACTTGGTCAAGTCTGTGTAAATGGCCATCTATCTTTTTATTTAGAACATAGCTATTACAATCCTGAGGGGTCAGTGGTTAGGAAGCATTATTAAATACCAGCCTTAAGCTATTGGTAAGAACTCTTCCAAACCGCTCTCGTCTGGCTTCTCAGTGATATATTGTGTAATTAACACTGGGCTTCTCACTGGTTTGAACTAGTTCAGTCATGGCCAACAAAGTGAAATTGGAGCAGGTCCAAACGTGGGTAAAGCCAAAATGATCACCAGAATGGGAACCATTACCAACAGAAGCTCCGCAGTGGATGACTCCACCAGGCAATAATGAGCCCATTCCAGAGCCTGAGTCTGCAGATGGGTTATTGCCAGGACTGTGGAGAGCTGCACACCTTCAAAACAGGGTTACCAGCCAACATGTTTGAGTGGGGAACTGTTGTTTCTGAATCTCTTGGTCAATAGATGTGGTTGCTATTCAGCGTACACACTGCTCTTGTTTTCAAAGAGGACAGGTAAGTCTCTAGCAGGATGTCAACTCATAATTTTTCCCATTCCACTTACTTTTACGGTTCACCTATGTTTTATATATTCAGGTAAGTTCTAGCTTCACTTTGTTGGCCAATTTTGAACCACGGAGAACCAGTTCGAAGCCCTGGATTAAAGTTAAATGTCATACTGCACACTAGTAGTTTCCTCTAGAATAGTTAAAAATTGAACAGAAAGAGAGATTTTCATGTTTTCAGTTTGTTGTTTCCTTCCTTGCTTTTCTATTCCGTCATGCTTACACTCTTATGAAGTAATTTTCAACACTTCACAACACATATACCATATATACTCGAGTATAAGCTGACCCGAATATCAGCCGAGGCACCTAATTCAACCACAAAAAAAGGCATTTAAAATGTGCTGAAAAACTCAGACATGAGTATATATGGTAATTACAAAAGACTGAAACACACGGAAATCTTTGGATTGCTTTGAATGCTTTCTATGGACATCAGAAAGTGTGTGTATGTGAGAGAGAGAAAAAAAAATTTATGGGATTTGAAATGTACTGTTATCACCAGGAGACCTAGGAAGAAACAAAGAAACTAGGTGTAATTACATATCAGTAAATTTATTAATCGCTCTGAGAAGAGATTAAAATAAATCCTTGGGATTATTTGGGGGTTGAATTTTTTCCCCATTATTTAACTGGCTATAAAGCCAAGACCTAGATTTTAAAACACAAGAAAGCATTTTGATCCTAAAGAAGCTGCATGGTTTTAAAAATGATGTAGCCACTCAATGATGAATGTGCGGGTTTTATGTAGAGAAGAGAAGTGAGCTTGTACATCTGCAGCTGTGTACACAAGTTATATCTCGACCCTTTCTACATGCATCAGAACCCTACCTCTCCTTTTATCAAGTGAAAGAGAAGAGGCATATAGCTTTTCAGCAGAACATGCAATTGAGCTGGCCGTGACATAGACCAAGCCCCCCTGTGACGTGGACATCTGGATTCAGTTATACAGATGGGGCCCTGGAGTTAGGAAAAGGAATCCATTCACAGAACCAGAACTGTTTTCTTTGCATACTGTAGGAAAAGTCGGGTGGTTCACGTGCCACCTTCTCCTTCAAAAAGCTAGAGACCTGAGCGTGGTATTTTGGTTCCATTCTGAAGGGGTGATACCTTAAAAAACAAAAGACTCATAACATAAATGACTAAAAAGAAACCAGCAGAAATGATTTCCTATGGAGGAATTCTGGTGGCACCGCGGTTCAGACACTTGACCGCTAGTCATAAGGTCAGTGACTTGGACCCACAAGCAGCTTGAGCCCGCCAGTTGCCTGGCAGGAAACAAAGCTGTGTCTGTCTACTGTCAAGATTGAGCAGCCTTGGAAATCCCCATGGGGCGGTTCTGCTGTGTCTGTCCTCCGGGGTCGCTCTGAGTCACAGGCAGTGGGCCGGGTTTGGGGTTTGGGGTCGTGGAGTGGAGTGCTTCTGTGACAGTAGGTTGAGCATGGTGGCTCACTGTGTGTCTATACATGGAATGAAGCGCTGTCTCCAGAGTGTGTCCTGCTTCTCTAGGTCAGTCCCTGTGAAAGGTTTATTTGGTGCTTCAAGAGCTAAACCCCTTTAATAGGATTGATTGTCTAACAGCTTTCCAATGGCAATTTTGTGATAGAGCCAGAGCGGCCTCGTAATTATCTTTAATAAAGAAAAGATTTTCTTGGTTCAAAGGTTTATCTTTGAAAGTTTTATATTAGCACCACATTTGATGAATTGGGGGCTCTCTGGAGACTAATGTGCTCAGAATTTACCTATTTATAACCAGTCATTTCTCTCTCTTTTTCTCTCAGGGTACCATAGAAGAAATATTTTCTCAATACTTTTAAGCTTAGTGAGAGTCAGAAATGAAAGTGGAAATGAATTTTAAAGAAACAGGAGAACTTTTCAGTTGACTGAAAGCACACACACACACACACACACACACACACACACACACACCCTCCACACACACAGAAATGAGCATGTCTGCGGCACTGCCGGGGACTTGGGAAGACAGGAGAGTGCAGGGAAGGTGGCAATGAGGAGCGAGCACTGCCTCACCTCTAATCCGAGGGCTATCCCGGGGGGAGGGCATTCCTTACCCATAAACCCATTGCCCTTGAGATCATTCAGACTCATTGTGACCCTCTAGGATGGAGGAGAATTGCCCTATAAGGTTTCTGAGGCTCTAAGTCTTGATGGAAGCAGACTGCCTCATCTTTTTCCTGAGGAGTAGCTGATGGCTTTGAACCATTGATCATTTGGTTAGCAGCCCAGGTACTTAAGGTTCCTGTCAGTAGTCCCTTTAGAGGAGGAATTAGACCAAGGGTCCTCAACTTTGGCTGCACAATGGAACCATTGGGGGGAGTTTAACATTTTCTAATATCTGGGGTTCCACCCCCAGAGGTTTGGGTGTGCGGTGAGGCCTGGGCCTGGGGATTTATTTCTCCCAGCTCCCTGGGTGATTTTGAAGTGCTCCCAGGGTTGAGAAGCTGTGGATTAAGGTAAGAGGAAGAACTGGCCAGGGAAGGGGACAGAGAAGAGAGGTGCTTCGGGCAATACCGGCCTGTTGGGTTTTTTAAGGGCCCAGGGGAAATTTCTTGTATTGTTTGCATACGTTAATTCCAAGTTGGTGATAAAAGCAGTCAATTCTTCTGAGAGAAACTAGTTTCTGGAACATTCTTTTTTGAGGGATGGGGCATGTCTCCTGATTTTTTTTTAATTGTTAAGGTATATAGAACACATTTGGCAATCCCATGGTTTTCATATGTACAATTCCACGTGTACAGTCACATTAGTTATTGCCACCTTTGTCATCATAAACAAACGGATTTTCTAACTGGATCTACTTTTTAAAAGTAAAGTTTATTACAGGATACAACGGGAATTCGAAAAGTTTGTCGAAAAAATTGGAATGGAAAGTTAATGGAGTTTTACCCAGACATTTTTGAAGGCTCCCCTTCCAGCTCGCCCCATACCGATCCATTCTTTTATTGAAGTAAAATATCTAGCAGAACTTTTGCTATTTTAAAACCATTTTTGAGCATACAGTTCAGGCACATTAATTACATTCACCATGTTGTATACCTATCACCACTCTCAAGTTTGAAGAATTTTCCTTTAAACAGAAATTCGAAGACCCCTTAAGTAATGACTATTGAGTCCCCCCACCCTCCCCTAGAACGCATTCATCAATTTCCTCTCTCTGCAATATTTCACTCAACATGTTTTCAAGGCTTCTCCGTGGTGTAGCTCATATGAGTGAGTGCTTCATTTCCCGCCATGGCTGAGGCATATCCCATTGTATGGGTGGACCACATTTTGGTGATCCCGTCATCTCTTGATAGACACTGGCGGTTTGTTCTTTTTGAACCATTTGGCTATTGTGAAGAGTACCACAATGAAGATTGGTTCCAAGGATCTCTTTGGGTCTCTTCCTCCCAATTTTTTGAGCATATATCTAAGAGTGAATTTGGTGGGCCCAATGTAGTAATTCTGTTTCACTTCCCAGACTGCTGTCCTACCAGCAGTATATGACGAGGGTTCCAATTTCTCTGTGTCGTCACCCACACTTGCTAGCTTCCATTTTCTGGTCATGTCCATCCTTGTGTGGCTAAAGTGGTGTACGCCCATCTTTAACACAGACTGCATCTTTTTTTTTTAAGTGAAATTTTATTTCAAACAGGACTAAGAAATTCACAAGAAATGTTTTTTAAATATAGACAACATGGAATGTCACTGCTTAAAATGATAAGTTTTTTTCTTTATTAAAGAAAATGTGGGAGATTTTTTGTTGTAATATACTCATGCGACCTCATATCATGTCTATAAAACCACGGAATCACCTTAATATACCGCCGGCGTACCTAAACCATGTTGGTGAGCTGTCAAAAGTATCCTAAGTATTACTTGGAGGGAGTCTTGGTGGCGTAGTGCGTGACATCCTGGGCGACCATCCACAAGGCCCACAGTTTGAAACCATGTGCTTTTCAGGAGAAAGATGAGACTTTCTACTCCTCTAAGGAGTTACAGTCTCAGAAACCCACAGGGACAGTTCTACCCTGTCTTATAGGGTCGCTGTGAGTTGGAATCGACTCAATGGTGGTGAGAATTTTTACATATCCAAATACAGACTTAATATGT